CCCCGGCCACCCTGCCTCTTTGTATTACCGCACCCCTGTGCTTCCGTCGTTCCGACGATGAATCCGACCGGACACCGCCTTTCACCCCTAGTATTCCCGGGACTAAATTTGCCAATCCCTTCCAACACTTCTCCATCCGCATCTCCCTCCTCCTGGCTTATTGGTAGCTTTGGTGGTTGCATGACAAACGACTCTACCCCCATATACATCCAGAAGCCCCGAGACCTTCGGGCAATCCTTCACGTAGACCCTCGTCATCTTCCATCCTAATAGTTTCCTGTTGACGGGGCCTTCACCGGCACCACGCGCTTCTGTCCAGGTGCCGCCCACGTTGACCAAAATCCGGAAACCTTGGCCCCGACGTCGGACAACATGGCTTTTACCCCACCCCCCGGCGATGTAGTCCGGTTTCCCACCGGCCTAGCAGGATGGAAGAGTTGGTGGGCTTTCGGCGAGTTTACCTTGGCAAAGTGAACAGCCAAGCAAAACCCCACAGAAGCGTCCAACAGCTGGCGAAACATCGATTGGTATCGTTGACGGAGAGGCGGCAAAAACGGACAGATGATAAATAAACAGACGGAGATTTAGGTAAAGGTGAGTCCGGGCGTCGGCTATTTCGCAACAATCGCTACGGTGGGAATGTGCGGACGTACAGAGCACGTCAGCTTGTCTGCGAGCCCTGTGCATGTTGCGGACTGAATTTTGTCATTCTGGGACCGCTTTGATATTGCAGATATGGCTTGTTTTTCCGGCAGGCCTGGCAATCGTTCGCAGCCGCAGATCAGATAGCAGTGTGTGCGTGGGAGAGATCGAAACCCAAACGAGAACAATGCACACCATTATGATCACCGGACACCAGCAAGGAAGGCTGGCAAAGGAAAAAACAATCAGCAAACGTGAAGGACACTACAAGTTGGTTCAGGGTGAAGGACAAAGACTTGATCAGCAGCAAATACGTTACTCAAGCGTTAAGATGTATGGACACGATCCACGGCAGTCAAGAAGGTGATATGGCGGACTATGTCATGAACGTGTGCTTTGGTGCTATGGGCATAAACGCGCCTCAGCTAGGCATGGCCTTCGAGGTGTTTCCGTATTTCAATCTTCGTCGCGCACGCAATTCTTGCGCTGTCTTCCAATAGCTGGCATGATAGATACGTCCCCTCCACAATACGGGGCTATAACACAAGATCGACGAGGAAACGAAAGTTCAATTTTGCTTTAGGCTAGGTATCACCAGATTCAAGTCGTCGACTCTGCAGCAGCATTCCCAACAGCCTCGGTGCAGTCTCTCTTGCATCCGTCGCACGCTCATGTATCAATTCTCAGATATTATGAAGGCGCGGAGCCCACCCTCTGAAGCTGCTCTTCTCGAAGTTGCAGTAAAGTAGAACCTGAAATGAACATTAATACTAGTATTTTTGGGACCGTGTTGTTTTCGGACAACCTGATGTTCTTCGATCGCCTATTATCGATTATTGTAGGAGGCAGGCTCATGGGCCCTCAATTTCCCTGACACCACCATGAAATCCACAACAGTGGGCAAATCGACCCTACGAGGGCGAAATTCTCAGGGGCCGTCGTGTTCAAACATTCAGGGTCCGTTTTGCCAAGGGATTGTACAGTTCTCGGTAATTTTACAGCCGAAAACAATACAACCGTGTGTAGGTTATTCCGCCTTCGCCAAAGCCATTTCCGCCAAAAACCGCACTACCGCCTACCGCTCAGAATTTATGGCTGTATAGCATTCCCGCCGAAAAATGTCTGCCCTAAAAAACGTTCCTGAGAAAACCCTTGGTTTTTTCGAAGTTACGTGTGCAATACTGAATTGAATTGACCTTTCCCGTTTTCAGCTAACCAGCTTATGCATATGGCGGTACCACATATCTTAGACGCATGAATGACGGGTACAGTTCTATTTCACGCACCTTGTTCCAACCGACTGCCGTCTGCACCCTGCGCCAGTTGAGCTTCGATTGACTTGGTAAACGATGTTGAGGAGGGTGGAGCTACGCCTGTGCGCCTTGATCTTTGCATGCATAATGTCCTTCAGACGGTGGAGCAATAGGGTGTTCTCACCATAATCGTGAGCGGGATAACCGGAGTACGTGCTCCGATACCGCCTAGGCGCGGCTCGAGGGCCACAACCATGGTGATCCACACCATTCCGACTACACTCAGCGCGAAGGCTTCGATTCTCAGGGTACGGACCGCTTGCTCGTAGAACGGCCTAGCTGATGGCTCAACCTGAAAAACCAAAATGACAACAGGAAACGGTTGTGATGCGATTAGCTTCGACAACAGCAGGTATTTGCTTTGTCAACCACGCGCGTTGTTCGAAAACCGATCCAGATTCTTGACCCCATGGTTACTCAAGTCTTGAAGCTCACATAGAGAGACAGAAGAGCAACGTCGTGATTTCTGAGTCATGACCGTTGCGTTAGAATTGGAGCGGTTAGCTGATGCGTCTACATCGTGCTCCGTGATTTGTCGCAGCCAGGTTGACGATGTCGCGACGTCCCTCATGCGTGCATGTAGGACTCTGACGACGTTGACAACCCGTAGATCCCTAGGAAGCCACTTAGGAAGGGCGACGGCTAGACAGAACATAATATTGTACGCGCATCGCTGTGCTTTCTTCCCACAACAACCCAACACGGCCAACACACTCCAAGCAAGGGTGCAGATGTATGGTGGAAGCCACAGTGGCATCCGCGTTGATTTACGCCTGCCCTGCGCGGCGGAGGGAATTTTCCTTGCATGTCTCTGAGGCTCAGACTCTCACATTTCGCTTGGCCTCGTTGATGATTTTGGTAAGGTTGAAACCCACAAAGTCGAAGCAGAACACCTGCGTGACATGGGACACACCAAGCAAAGCGGGAGAGACATGCACATTATTGCAACTGGTAAGGTCAACATGCTGGGATGAAAACATTCCGTTGGAGGGAGCCCCAACGTCAAGCGCCGTAGGGGTGAGGTAGGGAACGTCACGGAAGTCGAAAGGTATCGATAAAGCCTTCAGGACACCCTTCTCCCAGTACGACGTGGTAGATCTATCTTACAGTCCAACACAATGGCACCCTCTTATTTGCGGGCACCCCCTTCTTTGCGGCCATGCTATATATGTTAAGTCTGAGAAACTGACCCTCGTGCGCTGGTATGGCCATAAGATGATGGAAAGCCAGTCAGGAGAGTGCACTCGTCTTCACAGTAGCTTACTTTCTGTGTGGTCCATCTGCTATCGACGAAAATAGGCTCATTTTTATCCGAAATTTGAAAACGAGTGTTTCGCGCGGTGCTCCCAAACATCACGAAAACCAAGGACAAAAGGCCGACCATTTCACGGCCACCTACCCCTGCTTACCATAGGTGTAGGTGGTGCACCATTGAAGTCTCAGCAATACCTTGTTTTTGAGTCCTGCTCGAAGTCTTCGCGAAAACAGTAAAAAAACGTTGTGAAAAAGGCCCCAATGGGCACAAGCTTTTCCACTTTTTTTTGTTAAACCGAGCTAATCTGGTGGTCCAGAGGATATATTTCACTTGGGTGCTGATACTGGCATAACTATTGTGTTTGACTCTGTCTGTTATGCTTCAAGTGTGACGTACCGTGTGCACAACAGCATGAATGATTACCTACATTGGTTCGTGTATTGCTTGTTGTTTGGTTTCCACCGGTTGGCACCGGTCGTTGTTGTGATAGGCGTACTCAATTCCGCCTGTAAGGTGGGCACCGACTGCTGGTGTAGTTCCCGCAATAATCCCTTCCTCCGTGATTTTTTCCCCGCATTTTTCAACCTCCAGTTCGGTTCATTTTGGCGTGCTGCTGTGGCACGTGCGATGATAGCGCAAGGACTGCTGCACTTCCGCTTACATCCGCCATATCAACATGGCACGGCACCACAAAAGAGCTACACAACAATCCAAAGTTGTAGAGAGATTCACGGTCAAACCTTGCTCCCCGGCCTCTTAAGGTGTCAGTTGCATGCCGCAGAGTTTGGATGTGCTAGCTTTTAGGAGGCGATCATCCTTTTCCAGGATGGGGTTTGACGTCGGGTAAAATTTTCGTTGAGCTCTTTGGAAGCAAGACTCTGTGAGTCATCTCAACATGTTCATTTTATGTACGAACAACAGGCGTAGCTTCTCGTCCAATCATAGGTGAAAGCTCTACTCAAGTACTTTCATCATCCCCTCACCAGACATTAACTACTCCGTACTTCGTATGTATCCAACAACAACCAATTGAACATCCGATCAACAAGGTAAATGAATTCCCCCGCGTGTCTGCACTATCAGTTCGATCGGACGCACGTTGCTTGAGACACTGTCAGCGCGGAGCCCCGAGAAATTTCGAGCATCGTCTGCAAGTCACCACCAGAGCTTGCTCTATTATCCTACCAAGGAAAACGCACTCACGGACGACTCGTGTCGACTGGCGTAAAATTGAACAAGCTACGTCTGCGCTGGTGGTGTCGGTTGTCTACCAGACGCCCATCCAGTGCCTCGTTTCCCGTACATATCAAAGCAAGCCAAAACATTTAAGTGGTCACACAAAGCTATTCAATTCAAGATAGACAGATATGATTGGACTTAACAGTAATACAGAACAGAGCAAGCCGGAGCAACTCCCACCGTTCAAGATCCATTCAACAAGGTCCGGATGAGCAAGGGAGGACGGGGACAAGCCCAAAGACGTATCGCGGACAGAAGTACATCACAAGGGGCATCGCTTGAGAAACGGCAAATAGCTTCTTCTATGCGACCCCATATCCCCATGCTTCCGTCTTTCTGAGGATGAGCCAGGCCGGGCACCAGCATTGACTCCGAAGACAACATTTGCAAATGCTGTTCCAATACTTCTCAATCTGCATCTCCCTCCTCCTTGCCTAGCTCTGGTGGTTGTATGACAACATACTCTATCCCCAAAGAGTCTACCCCCGTATTACCAAAACGCCCCGATACGTTCTGGCAATCCTTCAGGTAGACCTTCGTCATCTTCCATACTAACAGGATCCTCTTGGTGGGGTCGTCACCGGCACCACGCGCTTCTCTGTAGGTGCCGCCAACATTGACATAACCTCGGAGGCCTTGGCCCCGACGTCGGACAGTATCGCTCTTGCCCCACCCCACGGCGATGCCGCGGAATTCATCTGGGTTCCCAGCTGATTAAGTGGGTTGAACGATTGGCGGCTTGTCGGGCCTATCTTGGCAAAGTGAACAGCCAAGCTAAACCCCACAAAAGCGTCCAATAACTGGCGGCGAAACAATCGATTGGTATGGTTGGCGGCAAGGCGGCAAAAATGGATAATATATGAGAATTGAACAGCCTTAGGTTGATGCAAGGGCAGGTCCAGGCCTTGGTACGGCCATTTAAGCAATTATCAGTACGGCCGTTCCGGCTTCGAGCTGAAGGAATTATGGCACATGGCTCGACGATATTTTCTCAGAGAACATCTTGCCCACACATTCAGGGTGCGGTTACAAAGTTGCGCGTGTTTCAATACGATGAACGGACGATTTTCGTCATCAGCTACCCAGCTTGTGCATGTGGTGTTACCACGAACGCTTGAACACAAGAGGGCAGGGGTTGACAGCGGCGGGTACGGTTCTAGAGCATCATAAAGCATTCATGCACCTACTTCCGACCGACCATCGTTGTGTCCTGCAGCCGTTGGGCTTGGTGTGGTTAGGAAATCGGTGTTGAATGAAGCTACACGTTTACTCCTTGATCTTGCAGGAGTATTATCCTTCACACGGTGAGTGGTCTCACCATAATCGTGAACGGGATAACTGGAGTTCGTGCTCCGACACCGCCTAGGTACGGCTCGAGGGCCACCACCATGACGATCCACACAACTCCGGCCACAGTGAGCGCGAAGACTTGAATCCTCAGGGTATGTATCGCTTGCTCGTAGAACGCTATCGATGATGGCCCGGCCTGAAATAACAGCATGAGACCATGCAATATTGCTGTGATGCGCTTGGCTTCGAGAACACAAATTCCCTTTGTCAACCGCGGCCGAATCCAGATTCTCGACACCATGGCTACTCAAGTCTCGAGGTTTGTATAGAAGACAAGAACTTTATTGGTCATGACCGCTGCAATAGCGTTGGAGCGGTCGTCTGGTGTTAACCGGTAGGTCTACAACGTGCTCCGTGATAAGTTGCAGCCAATTTGTAGATGCCGCGACGTATTTCATACGCGTACAATCCCTGACGATATTTACAGCCCGTAGATCCTTGGGAAAGAGTCACTTCAAGCAGCGCCATGGCTTGACAGAACAGAACGTTAATTTTGCGCCCGCACCACTGCTGTGCTTTCTTCCCACATGCACCCAACGCAACCATTACACTTAGAGCGAGCAGATGTAGATGTACGATGGAAGTCACAAGTGGCACCCGTGTTAATTTACGCCGGCTCCGAGGGGTGAGGGCGATGCTCCTTTGTATGTCTCTGAGACACGGATTCTCACATTTCGCTTGGCCCCGTTGATGATTTTGGTAAGATTGACCCCGACAAAGTTGAAGCAGATCACCTGCGTGGCATGGGGCAACGCCAAGCAAAGCGGCGGAGACGTGGAGCTTTTTTTCAGGGCATATACGTTCACCAACGTCTCTCGCAAGGTCAACGCTGGGGTGAGAACATTCGGTTGGAAGAAACCCCAACATCAAGCGCCGTAGGGGTGAGGTCGGGAAAGTCACAGAAGTCAGAAGGTATCGAAAAAGCCTTCAGGACACCCTTCTCTCAGTACGATGTGGTAGATCTAACGTACCGTCCAGCACGATGGCACCCCCTTCTTTGCGGCCATTCTTTGTCTAAGAATCTGAAGTAAACGTTTATTCAGATCGAAGTTAACGCCTGTCAAACCACTAACGGTAGTCTATGGTCGACAGTGCATGCCTTCAGCGTCGCCGTCTTTGTCACCTCGTAACGTACAGTGGAACGAACAGAACATGATCGTCAAAGACGGAGACTTCGCAGCGAAAGGTCTAAAGTTCATCCGAGGTCCGTGTTACGTCCAGCTAAGCACTCCTGATCACACTGGGTCGAATGTTGCCCAACCCACCCATACCCGATACCCGATACAACTGTTGGCCGCTCTTGTGAAAAGAGAAGCCGTCACCCACCGCGCATAACGCAGCTCCCCCTGTTACCAGGTTGACGGCCCTCACGACCTTGATGACGTCCAAGACGAAGAACGTCAAGAGGCCGAAGGGCGTGAGCCCAGCAATAGCCAGCCAGCCCACCCACAGGCAGAGATTTTTCTTCTCGGCCAGCTTGATCACCTTGATAGCCACGCTGTCTGCAGGTACGAGCTGCAAAACGGTAGGCACGGGGAGTAGGCGGGGTAAAGGGTTGTCGAGTGTTGTGGTGACAATTTCAGGGTCGGGAAGAAAAATTGCACCATCTTCTCACGCACCATCGTGCTTGACATGCAGCAGCCTTGAGATCGGAAGAAGTAAGGTACAACCGCTCGAGGGGAAACACTTGTGGCCGTATGCATAAAACTCATCGATGGCCGTGGAGAGAAGAGTTCAATCCGGCAAGCATGTTCGATCCTTACATCACACGATATCTCGCGAACTGTTCTTAATCAAGGATCCTATCCGCAACAACAACAATGAAAATGCGTGGTTTTCAAGTCGCCCGATTCCTTCACCCTGGCAAGTGGTTGGGGGTCGTGAACAACATTTGCTATGTTCCCGCACTACACCTGCGTCGGGAGAGTGTTTATCCAGAGGTCGATCATATGTGCCACCGCCATGCACACCAGAGGAAAAGTGATGCTGCACAGCGCCTTCAATCCGTTGGCGTAGAGGCCGCCGTCGGCTGCTGCCACACAGAAAATGATCGAAGCGCTTCCGCTGTAGGCGCTGCCGTACTCAACCAGTCAAGGCAACAAAAGGGGAGGATATGCGCAAGGGGTTGGCCATTCAATGAGCATGCTTGGTGCGGGAACGTGAAGCTTGGAAGGGTATCTCCGCAGCAATCCGTGCCTGTTAAGACGCGTTGATATCATCCGGTAGTTGGTGGACGCGCCACACATGAAAAATACAGGTGAGGGAAGGTGGCGACATTTTTCGGATTGGCGTTGTGTCAAGTCCGCAGCATTGCAACTAGGGTACCGCAACTCCCCGCCTAAAACGCACATCGAATCGGCGTTGCTGCATCGCCTTGCTTTTTTTAGTATTGCTCCTCCTCCTGTTCGCCCAAGAACAGTTTTTATACGCAGGTTAGCAGAGAAACCAATCGGTGTTCATGACACATGCCCCGTTGTCAATATTGTGTTTTCCTTTCTTGGGGATGTTCTGTAGAGCACATGTGGGTGTCAAGGCCTACCGTCCCCGACCAACCGCAGATTTCTTTTAAGGCAATAAGTTGCGTCTACGTGTCGGCCCTGATCATCTTGGCGCACTCAAGTACTGCTGTACACACACAGCTCGTTTGAGGCACCCCATGTACATCGACTCATACTGTCAAGATACGGAGGAGGGAGGAGGTACTAAACGTCTTAAAAATAAGTCGCAACCAACCGTTGTTCATGTGGGCATGCAAGCACCAATTCATGGCAGTTGTTGCTGTCGAGATCTCCCCCGACCAACACACGAGACGATGTACTCTATCAACAAGGTTGTGTCCGAAAATAGAAAATGGTACAATAATACCATACGGAAGAATTCTCGACCGATGCCAACGTGACAAAGGCGCACCTGGCAGACCATATCAGACGTAGGCGTAGCATAGCCCGTCTCGTGGCTTGAGCTGTTCTTGGCAGGTGGCTTTGCTTCAATGCATTCCAGGCCAGGAAGCCAACCGTGCTTGATCCACATACTGCAATTATGATATACCCAGCCACTAAAGCGCGCCTCAACACACAGCTGGGGTTCCCGAACGAGTCCATTGAGGTAAATCCGTCGTCATCGCACGAGCATTCGTAGCCAATAAGGTCATCCTGTTCTGAGCACGTCCCCGTTCCGCCCCAGAGCGGGTGCCGGCAGCTGTACAAACAAGCCATCACACCAGCCTCAATGCCCGATACCTTGATGTTCAATCACAAACAATGCTAACCAGCCCCCGATTCCAACGCACGCGCCCTTCTTTCTTGTCTCCAAGACTAATCTTCGTCTCCAGTAGGCTACACCCACATGAATGAATGCCGATGTCCTGCGCTGTGTGGATGGGCGATCGATGTTCGACGATAACAGCGATTAACTACAATCCACATCCCGTTCGACTGTGGGTATATCTCGAATGGGTAGTCTTTCTGTGTGTGTGTTTTTTTTTTTTTTTAATTCCCCAAACGCCAGGATTACGCCGCAACGCCGCAATGCAGAGATTACGCCGCAACATATTGTAACGACCGACCACGGGAAAAAAAAATACGATCACACTGAAAGAGCACCCCCGTTCGAGATAGTGCCCTGGAGTAAGGTGCCGATAGAAGTTACCAAACTCTCTCGTTGATCCTGTTACCCACAAGGGAGATATCATACCTGCAGGTTCCAGGACAAGTTTGATTCCACGCAGGGATTATACGGATCGCTCTGGTTTGTTACGGCCATCTGCACCATTTGAACCAATATTTGGACCACGTGAATACCAGTAGACCAGTCCAGGCATGTGCCGTGGCACGTGATGGCACGCTACGGGAGGTCATGGAACACCATGGCGCAACGTGGACCGCGCCATGGACCGTGTAGGACAATTTGACACACCATGGCACACCCATGGGACACCGTGGATCGGGCCATGGATCAGGTAGGCGTTATTACTCACCGCACTGCTAGTAAATCATGCTGCGCGCAGACGACCACCGCAAGACGAGCTCTGGCTTTCAGATCTGATTCTCCCGGGCCCGCTCTCGCTACTCATCATCTCTCATACTCTCTCAATCGTTCGTGATGTGTATTTCTTTCATCTACAAAACACATGCCAGGATGCTGTTGACTACATAATTTGTTGTGTAGAAAGTATTCTCCTTTTGTTATTGCGGGCTGATCTCCATGACCTCTCCTGCTTTTTGCTGCTCCTTGTTCGTTCGGTCTCTGTCGCTTCTCCGTGTACTGTACAGTCTTTGTCAGTAGTATATACTGAACGAGCGCACATGATTTGAAATTCGATTATCGCACGGCGGAATAACTTCATTTACTGACGTTATTTATTTTTGTTGTGGATCAATTGGCAGAGTGGTCTGGACTGCATCGAAGTGGACGGAACGGGTTGGAGGAGGAGGGGATATACATGCATGCGATAGGCAGAGATAGCAGCCAAGAAAGTAACGTCGGATGGTGGAGGTGCAGACTGCAGCAGCACTGTGATACTTTGGGCAGAAGGGAAAGAAGGGAGTGTAGGAGAAGCAGGACGATATGTCCAGCTTCCCAAGACAGAGATAGGACATCGAGAACGGCGTCTTCAGATGCACCACTGAACAGCCTCAGGTTAGTTGGGGTGTGCAATGGTGCTGGACGTTGCCGCAGGGAGTGCAGGAGAGGATCATTTTTTGTTGTTCTCGTCACTGTATATCAGCGTTCAAAGCATTTATTTGCGCCGAGTATACATGGGAGCTCCAATCCGTGGTCACACAAAAGGGTTCCTTCCTCTCCCTGAGGCTCCCTATACCCTCTCCCCGATGCTCCCTACCCACCCCTCCTGCAGTGCTCGCCTTCGGTTTTTAACGCGACAAGAGCGCAGTGCTTTCTTCCCTCAAACCAGCTCCACTACCAGGAACGGAAGCAATGCAGTAAGGAACGGAAGATTTCATAGACTGACACAAGGAGATGCGATCTTGTACAGCAATCATCCTCTTCTAGATTGTATATTTATATCTTGGTTGGTCTCTTGGAGACAAGGGGGGTTGGTTGAGGCGGAGAACTACTGTACAGAACCTGCACAACTTGTAGCGTTTAGGTTGGTCTTGGAGAAAAGGTTCCCGTTGGAGACAGGCCGTCACCGTAAGATGCAACTATCCGAATCACTTGATGAGAGCTGGGGTCCTGAGAGACCAGGTCGTTCGAGATGGAACCAGTATTTCGCACACGGCGTACCAGACGCAAAATTGTCGACGGGAATGGCGGGTTGAGGGAACACATTCTGTTCGTTTGCCGCAATAAGCAAGCGTGGATTTAGCCGTATGCGTGGGTCCTTTGAGATGCGATCCATGAGAGGGCATTTGATTTTCGGGGGGATGCTGCTACTCGAACATTTGGAGCTGGTACCATCCAGGTCCGAAGGTGCTTCCTTGTTGCTGTCGTATGGGCGCCGAATGAGATCGGGACGGGGAGACGAATTATTTTGAGAGGAAATTTGTATAGTGAAGCGAAAACAAATCGACGGCACTAGAGTGCCAAACTTTCTGTCGCGCAACAGGTGAATGTAATCGTTTCGCGCAGGGTGTCCAGTCTTCCATCATTTTACATGGTGTTCGAGTAGCACACAGTCTATGGCTCACCGAGAGTCACAGCAGCGTAGTCTAGCTACCAGCAGTCGAAGACATATAGACACACCCGCATTCAACAAGTGAAGCGAGCGATACTCACGCACACTAAAAATATTGTGCGCCTTCACTTCCCGCATTACCTGGCAAATGAAATCGATTCCCCCCAACAACAAATGGAACTTGCTTGAACGATCCTTCAGTTCTGACATTTGTTTTCGTCACGGCCACAATTTGCAGAGCTTTGCTCCCTTGCAGCTCTCTGGTACTACTATGTAATGGGATTTGACTCCTTTCCTGCCGACCGCGCCAGTGTAACGAGATTTGAACCCTTCCTTCCGAATCAATCGCCTTTGTGCTGCGTGGAACTCTCTTGTCCGACCACAGGTGCAGGTTGTTGTTGCTTTCCGTTGTTCTCTTTCTCTTGATTAACGCTTTCCAAGTCAACTCACAAGATCCCAAGCACACACGATCATCGGATCGTCTGCACAGACTGAACAGAAGGGCATATGCCTCGGCATAAAGCCCGAATCTAGCATGACATCACGTCATAGCATCCGACGGCGCCAAATAGCCATGGTCAACCACGATCGCATGTCTACCTCCAAATACCTCAACAACTGGCAGTCAAGTCATCGCATTTCTGCCAGAACGCATTAGATACCGACAGCCCCGGCCAGACACATTGGAATTTCCTGCTGCCGAGCAAGACCGGCAAGAGATGTGCTAAGCGGTGTGATGCTGCCCGCAAAACCGTGACGACCACTCATCACCCAGCATGCCGCGACGAAAGTGTCCCCTCGTGCTCGAGTAGACACGGGAAAAAAACTACACGTGGCGATTCAACGCCAATACCCGAATGGGCGAGGGAATCACCGTCATCGCTCGAGGATTACTACCCACCGTGTACGGTTTTGGCTCTCAATTGAAGAGCTTCCATCCGGGGGCACACAACAGATTTGATTTTCCCCGAAGTGCATACATGTATTTTCATGTCATAACCTTCTCAGACCGATTCCGCATAGGAACCAAGAATTACAGAAGAAGCCATTTGGTGCTTCGTGTCAATACAAATCAACGATAGAGACGGCGTCGAGGGCGGCATTGCAACGTGCAATTTGGCACGATTTCCGGCCGCAACTAGCTCCGACTTACGAGTACACGAACTCCGCAACAAAAGGAAAAACACAACTGTCAAGAATAAAAACACAGCTGTCTGTGGTGAGACTACACGGGAACCATGCTGCTTTACACATCAAACGCAATCCGATTGGTTGGTCACGCCCCCGCTGAATGTTATGGCGTCAACCATCGTTGGTGAGGCCCTGCTTTCTGTGGTGAGACCAAATGGGAACGATGCTGATCTGATTGGTTCGTCACGACCCCGCTGAGTGTTTGGCGTCAGCCATCGTTGGTGAGGCCCTGTACCGTGACGACAATATTCCGGGCGTGTCCACCCCCGAAGCCGCCGCTGTCCCTGTGCTCGCAGAGATATACGCCTTGCCAGGTCCCCAGCGCGAGCTTGCCGTTAGTCACGGGGATGTCTATCGACGCTCCAACCAAAGAACTCTTGAGAGACGGTTAGCGGGCAGGAAATGTAGGAAGGGAAAAAAGGGGAAAAACCCGAAAGAATGAGAGAAGAGAGATCATTAGTCCGGGGGAAGGAGCAGTGATTTCAAAAGCGAAGATGCACCCAAGTGCGTTTCGGCCCGCCAGCGATACCAACACAGTCTCGTAGATAGTACGAAGCTTCGACCGCTTCGACCGAATCACCGTGGGATACACCATAGGATGTTTCGACCGAATCATCATGGGATGCATATATAGAATGGGCTGGGTTGGACGCAGGGTTTACCAAAACAGAGGGACGAGCTACTGCAGCTGAGGAAAATAGATAAAACTGCCCTTTTCCTCAGCAATGGTCGTCCGCGATTCTTGCCAGAGAGTTCGCGCGACCGAACTAATGTAGTCTGCGCTCTATGACGACAGAAACAATCCGACGGATTTGTACATTTATACATAACGTCGGATTCGGTTAGCACTCAAGAACAGGTGAGAAGTAGTAATCGGGCTTTCCCATTCAGGTACCTTGACGTGTCCCGTCATATCATCCGGCCCCTCCAGAACGTGGGTGAACATCTCGCGATGCCACTTTACCGGAACAATCTCTGCCACAGACAGGGACGAAAAAACATATTCGGAAAAAAGGTGCGGACGGCACATGAACGGCAGAATATATTCCCGGACAAGGGATATGACAGAATACAGAATAGAATCACTCAAGCTCCGCAGACGTAGCTATTGAACTCGGGGCCGGCATCGCGACTAAGAGAGAGGATGTTTGCTCTTGCGTCGCCACCCAGTCTCGTGTCCCGGTAGTGACGCAAGTTATCAACAGCCAGCGTTTCCCAGCTGCGGTTCGTCGCATGCATGCAGAAAGGAAGCCCAAGAGTATCCAACCTCTTTTGAAAGCTGTCTTTGAGATGTTAGCATTGTCTTTAGTCAACAATTTCGGCTTGGCCATGACCGCCCCTCGTAGTGCAAATGGGCGTGGAAAGTGCTACAGTCCGCCACGCACCGTTGAGCGCTGCTTCCATGTCCGTCCTCACGTCAGGGTCTGCCTGCACAAATGCCGAAAAAATGAATTGTGAGCACGCAATCGATAAATTAATGGTTGAACCATAGATTTGGACGGGGAAAAAACACGTGTGGGGTGATAAACAATACGCCCGTGCATCGATCGATGTTTTGGCAAGACCTCGGGAAGGCTTTTCTTATTTTGTCTTCACGTCAAATCACCAATCAGAGCATTTGTACCATTTACTCCAATCCGTGGTCACACAGTAGGGTTCCTCTCCCTGAGGCCCCCTACGCACCCCTCCTGCCGTGCTCCTTCGATTGGTAATGCGAGAAGGGTGCCGCACCCTCTTCCCTCTGTGTAAACACGAACTACAGTAGCGCTTTCCACCCAGGCCAGGGAACCGATGCGAGAGAAAAACTCAATTTGCAAGAAAAGTTCACTTGCGCCGGGATTCGAACCCCTGACCCTGGCCACTAGAGGAATTTCGACGATACCAACTAGGCTACCGGGGCGACCGGCGTGGTGAAGACTGCGGGAATTTTGAGCAGGTCGTGCCAAAGATTGACTACCCATCACAACAGAGCCGAGCCTTCACTCAAAGTACCCCCCCCCCCCAAAAAAAACATATCTCTCCCTGCAGCACTCGTGTCTCACATTCTCGTTTAGTGTGATTGAGGCGGAAGTGTGCTTAAGAAACACGTTGGCCATGCCAACCTTGAACTCCCTGAGCTCGGGCATCTGCCGAACGATCTCGCTTGTGATGAGATGGCATCCCCGAGACGGCGCCGTAACGGTGACGGTTCGCTGAGCCCAGGAAGGTTTGCCAGTCATGATCTGCGTATTGCCAGTACATGACACTTTTTTCCCAGTACATGACACTTTTTTCATGCACGAATTCGCATGTCACCCTACCCCTGTCGTGCCGGTCGTCTATCAAGTTGGTGAACGTCGACAACTGACAGCGACTACGTTGATACCCTTCGAATCTCGAGCAAGGTATATGTTTCCACCATATTTACCAATGTTGGGCTGACTGCAGTGTAACGGCACTATCAAGGTGAGTAGGCTGAAGGGAAGATCGCTGAAACCTTTTGTTCAGCACTTTTTTTGGCATATATCACAGAGGTGTGACGCTGGATCGGAGCTCTTCGCCAAGAGAAGCGAGACCGTACCGTACGTAGAACCTGCAGGTGACGGTTAGTATACCCGACGAAGACCTCTCTCTATTTAGCTGTGCTGAGTGCTAGAAGATACACCAGACATGTGTGTTGGTGAATGTGTTGGTGTTGTCTATCTTTTCGTATGTCCGAGGAAGTTCCCGAGCGGTTGACTGTCTACATGTATGCGTAGACAGTCGCGATGGTTTACAACTTTACAATGTTCAAAAGGGCGTCTTCAAGGCTTCAAAGACCGAACGAACTTGGTCAAGCACGATCACGACACGACGAAAAGACGGCTACACAAACAGATGCTGTCATCTGTGTCGGCAAGCAACTCGGAGCACAAGTCTTGGCAATCCTATCAACAACTTGTTCCATTCTCCACAATGTCCAACCCCGTGCTTGATCACGCAACAGTAGCATGCGCCTTCCAAAGAGCACTACCATGTTACAACGGCACAGCAGTTTCACCTGAATGGAACGTTTCGGGACTTCGTTGCGGGAAGATTGAAGGGTGGCGGATCAAAGATTGTGTGCAACGTGCAACGTCAATACCTCCTTCGCCGTTGCTTTTCTTACTACAATACTGCTACGTACATGTATGTACATCCAGAAGTGAGAGTACCAACAGCTTCAAACGCGTTCAAGTTTCAACACAGGTCAGCGTCGATGATGCCTCAGACTCTGCCATTTGTCACCGACACACCTGCCCGTGCGAGAATTTGGCTACAAACGTCGACGCTTCTAGACTACAATACACTTCAAGTATTTAGAAGATGTCTACATGGACCACAGCGGTCGGCTGGCGGGTTGGCTTTGAAGTATGCGGTGCTACTGCCGTTTTCTGGGGTACGCCACACCTCCTCCCCAGCCCGACCGGAAATCTTGGGTTGCCAATTGGAATGTTGCAGACAATGTATCATGCAATTCAAAACCCTTTCCGATAACAAGAGTTATCTTCCTGTGGTGCGGGAGGGGCACAAGGGTAAACACATTGATAGAGCTACATCTACATCAGGGTGTGTTGTGTGTTTGGTGTGTGATGTTTGGAATCACGCCCACGGGACTGTCGACTTGCAGTCAATAACTTGAAAGTAGTTCTATTTTCTTGCCTTACTTTCTAGGATTCACATCCGCGCGGACTCACCCCAGAGGCGCTACTTCCCTTGCGGCTCATTGTCCTTTCAGCTTCAATCAATATCGCCCTTGGTATGCCAGTGGGTGGTGCTTGAGGACCAAGAGAACCGATCTACGATCTATCTCTAACCCCCAAAGGGGGCTCCGCAACTGAAGGCGTCGTTCCTTGGAACGCTCCTCGCTTTAGGGACTCCAGCAAACCCTGCTTTGTGTTATCATTTCGTGTCTCACGGCGAAGCATACTTTATATACACGACGCGAGAGGGAGAAAGAGAGATAGAGTAGAGAGATACAAAAGGGGTGGTCACGTTGCTCCTGATCGAGAACCATCCATCTTTCTGAACGCTGCTGTGGCAAGAGGCATCTCAGCGACTGAGCTTGACAGACTGGGATACATCGCTCAAGAATCATGCCCGCTGGAGGCAACGGAGCTGCAGGAACAGCACCGTTGTCAGCCGCAGCAAGCACCTTCGTGCCCTCCGCTGCTGCTGCTGCTACTACTACTACAACGTCGTCCGCCCCTTCCGCCCGCCCTCGGTCAGGCCACCCCGAAGATGACAACGACACAAGAAACGGCGGCAGAGGTGGCCGTAGAGCGAAGGCCAACAATGACTGCCGCCGAAAAACCGGCCGCCGCAACGGAGGAGGGGACGGCGCCACAGCACCTCCCCACACAGATGGCGAGGACACCCAGGCAGAGCTGCAACAGGTGATTCGCCCTTTCAAATAAAACTCAAATAAAAGAGTGGTGTACATTTCTACAGAGTATAACTTGCTGTACATCAAGTAGACAGGTAGACCCGGCCCCTGTGGGCGACATGACGGAATATAACCCCCCCCCCCCGCTCTTCCACCGAAGCGACCCTTGGCTGCGACCTTGTGCTCTACTTTGGTTGGCCACCAGCAGGGGAGCAACAGCAACCCCAGCAAGAGAGGAGGGTCAAAGAGGGGAGGGCGGAGTGGTTCGAAGGGTAGGGGCGGGGGCAGGGGCAGGGGGGACCGCGGTAACGCCGCTCGCAACAGAAACCCGAATAGCAGTTCCCGCGGGGCGGGTCGCGGCGGCGGCGGCGGCGGCGGCGGCAGCGGCAGCGGAGCGGTGGATCAGGAAGAAGAGGGAGGGCGGCCTCTTTGCATTGTGTGCGCGAACGAGATGGAATATTTCGCCGTGGGCGAGTGCAATCACCCCGGACGGTGAGCGAACAGGACAACTTGATGCGGGGTCGGAGATGGGGTAAGATTTGAGACGCGGCACCTGCATGCGCGAGGAAGAAATACGTCTGGGGTGGGGTGCGGGGGAGGGAGCATGAGACGGAATGATCTCCAAAAGGTCGGGTAGGCGTGCACTCAGGATGTGTCCGCCATATCTCCGGGACTTTGCAGCAAGCCTTACTTCTCGAGTTGTTGTCTGTGTTTCTGGTCTCGTGACCACTTGCACGCTCGCGCGGCAGGTGCTCCACGTGCGCGATGAGGAGCCGGGTTCTCCTCAAGGACCGCTCGTGCCCCGAATGCAAGACGGTCCAGGACAGGCTGGTGAGACTAGCGCTAGCAGCCGTACTCAGTTAGTTTCGATCGTCTCCCGCGAGCGGGAGGGGTCAGGTTTTCAGGTTTTGGTGTTTGCCTCTGAAACATCAACAAACTCTTGATCAACCTTAGCAAAACGAAAGGCAATGCAGCTTGGGAGCGTTTATTGAACAGCACATATTACGGAGGAACATAGTATTCAGGTCCTTGGCAGCTGGTTGAGCAATATAAGGTCAATTGTGTCGATCTATAGCTTAAACGAACCGTATGGAACAGGTGATTACGGTGAAGAAAAAAAAAAAAAAATGTCGGCGATGCCACAGAGAAACGCCTCATTTTGTCATTTTTTACCCCATGGGGTAGATTCTAGATATGGCGCGAATCCTAGCATATCTCGGCCATTTTTCCATGCATGTCAGCCCACGATGGCTTAAATGAACCGCAGTGTCAACGCCGAAAAAAAAAACTTTTTCCGAAGAGAAATCGCCACATGTGCCGAAATTTGGCCTTGGCGGCAGCGGTAAATTTGGCCCAGGTTGTTTGGTATCTTGGGCAAATGGCTGCTTATGTCCACCACCCACAGCTCAAACGAACCGCATCATTGAGATCCCCATGCGAGAAAAGAAATGCTGAAAGAAATGTTGGTGGTGTAAAAAAAATCCCATGTATTATCGACCGCAACACGTCAACCTTGGTCGTTGACGATTGAGCTGCAAGACACCACACAGAACGAATGAAAACATAAAATACAACTCTCATTCCCTTGGAATCTGCAACATGCAATGAATCAGAACACCACGTTGACTAAGGGGAGAGGACCCCTGCATGATACAGGTGCTGAAAGCAAACGCCAATACGCCAATAATCCAACGCAACAAAAACCAGTTGCAATTTTGTTGATGTCTACACCTCTGCATCACCGTCGGCATCCTCGTCACCCATACACTCCATGAATTCGGCAGACAACTCAAGCTGCTCCTGGGCCTCGACGCCATCATCGTGTACGATGTCGTTGTGCCCAGGAGCATCATCTTCGTACGACTCGGGGATCTCTTCAAGAGCGCCCATCTGACCTCTGAGAACAGGGTCACTCGCAACCCACTTGTTCATCTCCTTAACGGCGTGTGCAACGAGCTTGCTACAGTCCGCCGGTTTCCAACCCCCCTTCTGCCCTTCCCACGTGGGATCTCCGTACCACCCTTTCCGAACCTGCGCCCAAACCTCTGCCATCGTGCGTTTCGTCTTAAAGTTAAAGCTCACATACTGCTTGCCGTGCTGCCAAAACAGTTCGATCGGCTGGAAACTCGGCATGTACGGGGGGGTCCAAATCAGCTGCCAACCACGCCCGTTCATGAACGTCTCCACTTTCTCCATGAGCTTCGTGGGATGCTTGAGCTGAAAGAACGCTCGCGTTGCCAGCGCTACCTCGGGGCCGCTAACACCCTTACCGCACTTCGAATTCGCCTGGGGAAACGTGCCAGTGGCTGGTACCTGGAAGGTATACTTCTTGCTCCGTACACCTGCGCTACTGGTCACCTCTCGCTCCACGGTAATCTTCCTGCACTTGTACTTGCGCAAAAGCGCAGTGTTGTACCCCTTACTGTTGCTTTCAGGAACCCCCACCTCTGCGTCATACCCGTGGTGGTACGATGCGTTATCGAGAACAAGAATCATCTTCTTGTTGCCATACTTGGCCTTAAAGGCCGGTGCCAGGCGCCGTTCAAGCCATTCCATGAACATCTTGTCTGTCATTGCATCGTGGTAATCCCCCGTGGCACGTTTAGCCTGCCACAGCATCTCTGCGGTCTCTTCCGTACCCATCGACCCCGCCCCCTGCCTGCCCTTGCCCTTGTCCTTGGGCTTGAACCAACCTTCAGGGATTGGGAAGTTGTTTTCATCCACTGCTGCCAACGCCCCCCCCTTGGTTATTGCATGCACCATGATCATCCGCAAGCCCTTCCCAGACGTACGTCCCATCCCATCCTGCACTACTCCATCGTCATCGGTGAGAAAGTAAGAGTAAGCAGACCCGTGCAACTGATGACAAAAGCTCTCATCCATGTACACAATGACCGCCTCCTCTTTCTCTTCTTGAGTGAGAGCAGCAGACATCTCGACAAGGAAGCGACGAATGCGCGCCTTTCTATCGTCGGAAACCAAATGCACCAGGTCGTGGCGGAACTCCCGGCCAGCGGCGACGCCCCTCGGTTCGAAACCTTCAACCTGTGGGGAGATTTCGCCGGGCCGGACTCGGTGTTCGACGACGAAAGCGGCATGGTTTTCTACGCTTGCCGGGGGCATTACGACGACCTCCTGAGGATGAGGGACCCCTACTGTCCCGTAGCGGGCTGCAAGGGTGCTGCTGCGGGTGGGCGGGAAGGGGGGAAAGGGTGTGGCGTCGGTGGGCACGAGCTGTTTCCAAACATAGGTGTGTGCGTGTACTCCGCGTCATACATACGGCGCATGTGTTGGCCAACCTTGACCGCATCAACAGGTTGACCAATGAAAAGGCGTCTGTCTGTCTGTCTCGTGAGAAACAGAAAAACGGAACAATTGTGTTTTCTGTCCGCAGGTCCCCGTAATTGGGGGTTCGCGGAATATAGTGGAGGGGAGCGTACAATCCCGTTTCACAGATAGTGCCTGAAAGGTACAGAGCACACGCCCCCATCGTGGTGTCACGATCGTTCCCCTTAGTAGTTTTTTGCTCTCTGTTCTCGGTTCTTAACTCCTGGCTACCTTCCACTCGAAGCTAGCTCCAGCACCGCCTCTCTTTCTTGTTCGAACTTTTCGGCGGACCTCTCTCCACTCCTGTGTAGCTCTGGAGGTGTTTTGTACTCCTTCTGCGTGTTGCCGAGATCTTGACGCCTTTGTGCGTAAGATCTGATCGAAACCTCCTTTTCCACCACAAGTAGTCTAGCCCCTCCCCCCGCCCCGTGTCTTCTTTCTATTCCCTCAAGAGATAATGAGTCGCCGCCCCCCATGATCGTTTTGGGGTTCATATTTTCCCCCAACGCTCTCACCCCGCGGATCCGTCAGGGTACCACCACCGGCTACTGCATCGCCGTGTGGCGATTTCCTTCCCATGTACGTACCGCTCCGTGGACGATGCATTCCATGTGTGTGCGCCACTCATCGCTGAACGCGTCACGCGCGCTTACGTCTGGCTCGCAGGGGCTCTCATGGAGCACATGAAAGGCTTTCACCAGCGCTTCCTCTGCCAGCTCTGCCTGGAGGGCAGGCCCCTGTTTCTCTCCGAGCAGGAGGTATTCACCGCGTCAGGCCTCCGAAAGCACGAAGCTAAGGTGGAGGGGGGGCACCCCCTCTGCCGATTCTGCAACAAGCGGTGGGGACAAAAAAAGGACAAATTGGTCGTGTTTTTTTTTTCCTGCTACAACTGAAGGATTTTCATCGGTCACACAGTTAACACGGTCCATGCTATTTTAGAAACCATACAGACAACAAAATGCCTTGGATGGAAGGGAGGGCATTGTTGTTGCTCTACAGGGTGGGTGCACTCGAGTGTCGAGGAAGACCAAATGCAGTGCTGTTCGTACAGAGCGAGCGCTGAAGAAAGAAAAAAAGGTGGAGAAAGGGGCAAACTGAGCCCTTCGTGTCTTTGGAAGCACTAGGTTTCTGTTCTGTCGTGGCGAGGAGGCAAGGCCAAGCTGGTGGTCGCATGCCGCAAAATAATCCATCATTTGGGGGAGGACTACACGGCAATGCCAAGGGGCAGTTTGTTGAGACTGCTCTCGCGCGAACAGCAGCCTTCTGTCTCCCGTACGCTTCTGTGTGACCGCGTACGTACGTCTGTGGGTAGCGCCAATCTTCTAGTTCTCTTACTTTCGGGGTGTAGGCTAGGCTTCCAACAGGAATAGATCTAGGCAGGTTCAACCGACTTTGACTACAACGCGCCCAAGGAAGAGCAGCGACCAACTCGTCGCTATTTTTTCCGGAAAACCCTACGGGGGAGCACCGTGTTTGTATCCCGCACCCCCTCCTCCGGGGTATAGACGCCATAATGAAGAGCCACGGCGCGACAGGACCACTAACTTCGCTCATTTTTCAGTTAGCATCCGTTCAACTCGTTGCGTGTTCAAGTTTTTTTCTGGGTGCGTGCTCTTAATTGCTTGTTTTGCGCGCCGTCGTGTTTCGGTCCGGCTACCTTTGTTTTGGTGATTGTTACATGCGGGGCGCGGGGGGGGGGGCGTGGAAAAGAGCAGATTCTTCGACAACACGGCGCTGTACGACCACATGACGGCGACGCACATCAACTGTCATCTTTGCCCCGAAGAGAACCAGCACAGGCAAGCAAGGATAATGAGTCGTTACTGCTTCTATGACAGTATGGACTCGTACGGAGAAACGGAGGTATGTTGTACTCCGTGGAGGTCGGTTCAGGGCAGTTACGGGATCTCCAATGGGTGTGTACCTGCGTGGAGGAGGAGGGAGGGGAGAGAAGGAGGAGGAGGAGGAGGAGGAGGAGGAGGAGGAGGAGGAGGTTGTAGTGGTGGTGAGGACGTGCTTCAAGGGCCGTCTTCTTGTCCGTACCAATCATCCGCCACGACGGCGGCATTGTCGGAGCACCGGCAAAACCCCAGGAAATGGTACATTTGTTGCCCGGGGTATTCGGTTTTACCAGTCTCGGATTGGTGTCGATAAGACCACCTCGCGCGAGACACTTGCTACTAGTTATTTCGGTTTTTGGGACGATTTTTCTTGGTCGGCGTTTCCGTGACATGTACTGCCTCCCTGCTGCTGTTGTTGCTGCTGCTGCTGCTGCTGCTGCTGTTGCTGCTGCTACTGCCGCTGCTACCTCTGCTGCTACTGCCGCTGCTGCTGCAGGTATTTCCGCGGAGAGCCCCAGCTCCGGGACCACTTGAGGACCTCCCACTTCTTGTGCGACAGGGGAGCCTGCCGACAGCGCGGCGTCGTCAGCGCGTTCAACACACCTTCGGGGTTTCAGGTGTCCTGAGGCGATGTGTGTGTGTGCGGGGGGGCTTGTTTTGGCTGCCTCTGTAGTCTGTCTACACGATGGCCTGATGCATCATCTTAAGTCGGGACTATGATGATGACGACGATGCTGGTCGGGGAGAGGGTATACTCAAGTAAACGATTGCCGTAGCACCATTGGCCTCGAATGCCGGGACGAGGCGATTTGCCGGGTTGTCGCCGGCCCAAGCTATGATTCACAAGCTGATGAACCAGAAGCTGGCCTTCATCTTTGCCCTTGCTGTTTGGGAGGGAGTACTCATGATTTACATGCTGTAGCGGTTAGACCATAGACCACGGGTCCTATTGTGTTTGCTGTTGGGGGGGGGGGGCGTACTCTTATGCTTTGCATGCCTTAACGGTTAAACCATTGACCACCCGTCCTCCAAAGGACGGAGCATTGTTCCCACAGGACCGATCACCGATGGTCAATCGTTCCTTCCTACTTTGCCAAAGGTGGCTCAAAAATTTCTTTCCTAGTCTGTCTATCCTACCGATGTCACTTCCCGCTTTTTCAAACCACTTTCTACTCCCCAGTACCGCTACCGTCCTCTCCTCTCTATTCCATGCCTCAAACATCTCCCTGTACGTCCCTTGTATTCTTCCCAGCTCAGTCATGTACACTTCCCTCTCCTTTTCGTACCACGGACATTCCGCGACTACATGAACACTGTCTTCGCATTCGAAGCCGCAATCGCATTTGAACTTGTCGTCTTCGTCGTCTACCGTCCTATGTCTTCGTCGACGTTCGCGAAGGCCTATGTCCCCGGTCCTGAATTTGACCTTAAGCTTTGTCCCTGCATCCATTGGTCCATGTAGGTAATCCTTGAACCCTATTCCTTCTTTCAACATTCCGTACACTTGTAGACCCTCCTTATCCTTGGTTTCTTTCCTTAGATTCTGTTCTTCTCTCTCGGCACAAGCAACAGATATCTTCTTCTTGAACCCCTGTAGACCCTCCGTTTCCAGCGTTTCATCTTCGTCGATGTCCAATCCCTTCCATACGTCCTCTACAACCTTGACCCATTCCGTGGGTTGTCTACCCCTCTTTTTGTTTGCCCACTTCGCCTCCCATACTATTTTCGGCAACCTCTCCTCTCCCATCCCGCACATGCGGTACTGCCATGTCAGCTTCCTTACGTCTCTTCCCGACCGTAGGGATTGGATCCCCAATTCTGCCCTGACTGCTGCATTACTTGTGCGCTTGGAGCATCCTAGGATGATTTTCGCTGCTTTCATCTGCGCCGCCTCGAGTTCTTTCACTACCTTCTTATTTCCTTCCCATACTTCTCCGGCGTACTCCAGCGGCGGTACGATTACGCTCTTCAAAACCGTCAGTTTGATGCGTGTATCAAGGTGCCGGTTTGCGAGTATTGGGTGCAGCTTCCCTGCTCGTGCTTTGCCCTTTTCCGCTACCTTGGACATGTGTGCATTCCACGAGCAATCTTTTGCGATCTCTACTCCGAGGTATGTGTACTGGTCCACTACTGCAATCTCCTCGATCCCCCACTTCCATCTATGTTCTACTGGTTCCTCCCTGCCCTCGTTGCATACCATGACGGCACTCTTCGTAACGTTGGCAGACAATCTCCACTTATCAGTAAACTTCTTCGCCGCGTCAATTTGCAGTTGCAGTCCCTCAGGGGTGTCCGACATACCAACAAAGTCATCCGCAAACAGCATTCCTGACACCGAAGTTTCCGTGTCCCCTGCTTTTACTCCCTTCCGGACTGCCTCTACGACTTCCAACAGATCGTTGATGAACACCTGGAACAATGTTGGGGACAGCGTGCAACCTTGTGGGACCCCTTGCTCAATGTCGAAGAATTTAGACAGTTCTCCGTCTAGCATGACCGCGCTTTTCGTACACTCTGTCATCTTCTTCAGCACCCTCCACATTTTCCCCTTGATCCCGTACTTGGACAATTGTTTCCACAGCCCATTTCTCCATACGGTATCGTATGCCTTTTTCACGTCCAGGAAGAAGCAGTACGTCCGCTTGCCCGCCCTCTTTCTACCTTGGATGATTCTCCCTACCGTGAATGCGTGGTCTACGCACCCCCTCTTCTGTCGGAAACCTGCCTGGCCCTCACTAATGCTACGTTTCTTCTCCAATACTCCCACTATCCTATCGTTCAGCAGCTTACAGAACACTTTTCCTACTGTGTTCAACAGTGTGATAACCCTGTTGGGGGGGGGGGTAACTTTTATTGCTTCGACGAAAACAGGCACATCTGTTGGAGGACCACGGGATCACCGACCGCCGCGCCGCGTCAGCGGGAGGCGTCGGCTTCAACGTTCGCCGCGCGGCCCGCGATGGCACAGGCCTCCACACCTCCTACAACTCCGTGGCTGACGCCACGACGCCGACAGGTACAGTTTTGAACGACCCGCTGGTTCTCTACTCAAACCAGGGCTAAAATGAGGCGTTTTTCCGGGGGTGATCCCAAGTACGTGTCGTTGCTGGGAATCGATACACACACACTTTGATTTTCCGTCATGTAGGCGAAAAATGGTCTCTCAAGAACAGCAGTAATATACACCACAGGATGTACGCAATCGCGATGATTTGTGACCTCCGCCATGTACCCGTGTCTCCGCTTGCCTCTATCAATGTGTATCTATCAGCACCAGGGGAGTCTCTCGCCGCTCCCGACCCCGAACTCGACCTCGCTGGAGGCGTCGTGGTCCCCGTGCCTTTAACCCGGGGACGCGAGTCAACCGTCCCCTCCCCCGGTACGACTCCCGCCGGAAGAACCAGAAACTTACCGAGCGGTGGTGGGAGCACTGCTGCTGATCCCTTGCAGGAGGCGTTTCCGTCTCTGCCGACCGCGCCGCCGCGGTCCTCCGGCGGCAGCGGCGCAGGCGGCGCGGGCGGCGCCCGGCAGGAGCGGCACGCGCTCTCCCTGGTGGGGAAGAACATCAGGCCGGATCACCAGAGGCGGGGCGGCGGAAGGGCGGGAGGCGGGGCGCCGACAGATTCGAGCGTCTCCAGCAGGGGTCGCGGCGGCGGCGGCCACGGCTCCGAGGAAGAGGTATATAGAAGAGAAAAAAACTCTAGAACCACAAGACAGATGGTGTGCGTATTGTTCGGGGATGTCAGCTGGCCTCACCATCTCCAGCGTGTGCGGTGGTGGATGACTGGGAAGTTGGTATTTGTCCCTTGTAGATGGCGTGGTTTCGCCCATGGGTGTATAGCAAGGACGTCTTGTGGCCAGATTTGCGCTTCGTTTACTATTTTTTCTCTCTCTAAAACAACGTGGTACCTGCGGAAAATGAATTCGTGACGCCTTTGATTTAACGACTTTGGAGGGTTCCAACAACGCGACGAAACAATGTCTTCTCTGCTCGACGACAGGAGAAGGAAAAACGGCAGCTCTTGCGGAACAAGCGCCTCGCTGACGCCCTCGGCATCAGGGCGGCTCTCGGAGCGGGCGCCGCCATCGGTGGGGCAAAGGTAACTAGCTGCCTGCGGCCTCTCTGCGAACCCCCGTTCGTCGTTGACTGCAGCTTCTCTACGAACCCCCTTCGTAGGACTGATCGGGTTCGGCTAGGGAGAGCCTTTCTTAACCAAAATCTGGACTCGCGTTTGCGGGGAATAAGTTTTCCCCCGGAGGTAGGCACCTATGAGCGTGGTAGCTTGATGGAGTGTTTGGGTGCTCATTGCTCGACTTGAAAATTGGACATTGGTGCCGCCGTGGTCGCCCGCACGCCCGGTAGCTTTTCCGACCGCCTCACTCTGCATACAATATTGTATCTGTGATATGAAACCGTCAACTGACGGGTACCTTGCCACGTCTTCTTTTTGTTTTTCCTACAAGGTCGGAACGACAGCAAGCGGGGCGACGGTGGCCATGGGCATCGGCGACGGGCTGGATGCGATTCGAGAGCACCTGACGAGGACCAACTACTCAACCTACCTCGTGTCCTGGGCAAGGTTAGTGAGGTTGGAGTTGTGGTGGCAGGGTGGTGCGTGACATGACACACACGCACCCTCGGTGGGTTTTCGAAGCTTGATAAATATCTCGGCAACTAACTAGTGGGTCGAGAATACCGCTAGTCGAGGTGTTGCGTCTTGCTCTCTCTCTCTCTCCCTCTTTCTTTCTCTCTCTCCCCCCTTTCTCCCCCCTCTCTCCCAGTCTCCCATTCTCCCACGCCAGTCATGCTTCAAAGTGCCAGCAGACGGTCAATACCCAGCCTTTCCGTCGCACTTGTCTGTAGCAAAAATAGTGCACGGAGAGATAAGAGAGGGGTCATCTTAGGCTTACCGACGATACGATGACACCCATTATCCTCGTGCGGCTTTGTTGTTGGTGGTGGTGGTGGTCGTGTTGTCACTGTTGATTTGTTTTTCTTGAAACCCATGCGACATATGCATAGATGGATCCATCTCTACGTATTTACTTCGTATCACCGTCGGAGAAGGTCCTAGGGCCTGTTGACCTTACCGTGTTTGTTATGGCTTCCTTGCGGTCGAAATGGCCCCCAGGGTCATGCCACTGACAGTCATGTGGCAGGCGTATCCACCGGCGTTTTGTCTTTGCCAGCCGGCGCGTAGACGTCAATGTTTGGCGTAGTCTCTGTTGTCATCTTGACCGTTCGATCGGCACCAAGCGAATCCACCAGCGTTGTATAGGGACCTACCGGCGTTGTATAGGGACCTACCAGCATTGTATAGGGACCCACCGGCGTTGTTTAGAGACCTACCGGCGTTGTATAGGGACGACAACCAGTACTACTGTTGGCTTGCGGTTTACGTGTTTAGATTCATTTCACGGCGAGCCTATGCCGAATATAAAACGCGGACTTTTGGTCTCTTTCGGCTTTGTTATTGACAAAGGGCCAACCGTGCGGAGCTGGGCAAGCTGGAACGACGGCTCGCCGAGCTGGTGTCCGATCCCAAGGGAACAAGCTCTCAACTCAAGCCGATGCCGTCGGTGAGGAGGAAACACGTCCAATGGTCTTAGCCTACAGCATGTCTTGTCCTGGCCCACCTCTCTTCATGTTCACACGCACATGTGCAATTGTGTGTCGACCAAATTCCTTGGGCGTGCGGCGCCCTTGTTGTTGTTCAAAGCTGGCAGCTAGTTCGATCGGCAACAAGCGAAGCCAATGCCACCAGCGAGAGTAGGATCGTCGTTTCTTGTTGTTTTGACCGCGATGTTTTTTTTTTCTTTTTCGGCTGCCTCTCCTTTGTGCCCCCGCGCACATGTACGACGGCATCGACAAAGGACAAGCAGAAACCGTTTTTTGACTTGCCGTAACCCTCCTGCTCACTACATGCGTGACAAATGGTGCATATTTTTCCTTATCGCCGAAGAGAACATGGCAAACGTCGACTTCCTCCATGGATGTGCTATGCTCGTGAACGGTCGACTCCTGCGTGTACCTGAAGCTGCCGGGGCAGCCGCAGCACCTCCGAAATTCAGAGGCCCTTCTCATCTTCGCTATGTATATCTATCGTATCATCATGTCATTTTTCATTTCGTTGTCCATATTTCATGCGTTCCGTCGGAACAGCTTGACAGGAAGGCCGCGCACGAGCTGGCGGCACATTACGGCCTCGTGACCCAGTCGTACGACCTCGAGCCGAAGCGATACGTCTCCGTCATCAAGCAAAAGGTACATACATACCTATCCAAACGAAAGGCGGGGATGCCGGCTCTTCCATCCCCGGGCTTCGTTGATCTCCACAAGATTGACGAACGTGCCCGTCTGCTGTCGAAAATCAAACTTCTCTTGAAAGGGCGTCGATGTTTGTATCCCCGACTGGCCCCGACTGTGGCACATTTTTGTCTGCCTACAGTAATCATACGAGTGATGGTCCACACCCCGGTATATGCCGACTTTCAACGCTCGATTGCTTCTGGAAAGATGCCGTCGAGAGCTGCCTTTCCTTGCACGCGCCGGTCGCTTTTCGCAGCCTTTTGGGTGTGGAGCAATCGAGCCTTGAAAGTCGATCTAGAAGGTTTGTGCAATCGCTAGCACTTTTGGGTAGTTGGCGTTTGACCTCAGGCCCGAGATATTCATCGCTATCCTTCCATTGAGCGGGGGCGACCGAGAAGCGTTGTTATCAGGGGATGTTGCGGTCCCATCCCCGGGCTTCGGTCCTCCCCCAAGGCCTAGTGTTTTCGGAAATGAATCCTCCTGGCTCGCGATTTCTCGGCCTTGGTGCGAGACCACTGAATAGAATTCTGGTGACGGTTTCCCGAGAAAGTGTGGCATACGTCACCTTCCTCTGCTGCTGCTGCTGCTGTTGTCGCTGTCGTTGCCGTTGTTGTTGTTATTGGCGTCGTCTTCGTCAACGTCATCGTCAAAGGCAATAGGGTTCACATTTATTGCGAGGTAGCTGTTGTTGTTGTCGTCGTCGTCGTCGTCGAAGGCAATCGAAACTCACATCCATTACAAACAACCTTAACGCACTTTCGTGGCACATTTTACCTGGCTCAACCGAAATCAGCGTAGGAAACCCCCTGCTATTCTCGGGACAACATGAAAGCCTTGTGGGTCGTCGTTCGAGGGGCAACTCAAGAATCGATGTCATTTTCGCTGTGTGATTATGTTGCCTGCACGCAGGGTTGTCGGCTCCCTACTAGACTTCTCAGCAGCGCCGCCCGCGACCCGAGCTACACGGGCACGGACGAGGTTCCAGCGACGGAGGGCGGTGGTGCAGCTCCGGTAAAGCCGGTGATTTTTGCCGTGGTTGTTATTGTTTTTGTTGTTGTTGTTGTTGTTGTTGTTGTTGATGTTGATGTTGTTGTTGTTGCTACTGCTGTTGTTGCTTTGTCGCTGTTCCTGATGCTGTTGCTGTTGCTATTGTGGTCGTTGTTGTTGCTGCTGTTGCTGTTGCTGCTGCTGCTGCTGCTGGTCTGGGTGGGGGCGTTGGTTTTTTGTTGTTGGTGGTGGTGGTGGTGGTGGTGACAGCAGTGGTGGGAAAGTATCGTTGCTGTTGTTGTAGAGTTGGAGAGCTGTTTTTTTTTCTCTCCCTGGCGGTGGCGAAATACCTTTTAATACTGCCGGTGCCAGCAACCCCTGTTGCAACACCCTGCTGCTCCGTTCAGAAGTTGACACCATTCTACGATCCGTCCACCCCCCCTCACCCCCACGAAGGCATTGGAAAGGACCACGACAAATCCTAACCCTCGCGCGACAAGCCTCCTGGGACCAGCGTCAACACCATCCGGGGGCAAGGGCAGCGACCATCCTCCGCCGGAGGCAGCTCCGTCTTTGGGAGGAGGAGGTGGCCCCCGGACATCGACAGTGACGTCAATCTCGAGCGCGGACCCGCTGGCGGTGGATCCGGTTGCGGCTGCGGAGGCGGCGGCTGCGGCGGCCAACAACGCTAAGGCTGACGGTGAGAGGAACACCCTATGAAGCGGGTGGCATCATGGTGTTGATTATCATCCCTACAGGAACGAATGAGAGAAGAAGCGGTGACATCGTCGTTTGTATAAAGTGTTAGGTGCAGCATCGATCGCGCTGTGTGTTCATGGTTGGCCGACGAGAAAAGCGCCGGATAGTGGTAGGCAGACGAGGAACGCCGACAGACAAGCTCTCTAGCCCGCAGGCTCCCTCGTGCAGCTGCGGCAGATGGGCTGCATAGCAGTGTGAGGGAGCGCGTAGGAGCGAGACTACCGCGTGCGTGATAAAGTTTTGTGGATTCTTATTGATAAGATCTTGGTGTTTGTTGTCAGACATCATTTCCACCCGGTGTTGGTAGGTGGCATCGCCCTTACGCACCTCCACCCGCTTTCACAGATGCTCTCTCGGTATGGGAAAGAAAATGTATCACATGCTTTGTTTGTTCACTGTCCTTCGTGAGCACCGCCGATCCGGGATCATACATTTCTACCTTCACCAAAACGCCCAGGCGCCCCGGTTGCCACTCTATTTCTCTCTCTCTCTCTCTCTCTCTCTCTCTCTCTCTCTCTCTCTCTCCCGCCCTCTCTCCCTCTCTCCTTGTAGAATGAATGGTTTAAAGCAACGTATGTGTGGTATATCCTCTTTCTTGTCCGTCTGGCGGCACCGCGATACACAAGCACATAGTACCAACCACTCGTTGTTGTTCGTCCGGCGGCAGGCAAGAAGACGTACTTTCAGCGGAGCAAGAGGCGCGGAGTTCCGCCGCCTTCCTCCTCGGCAAGGCCGGCCACGGCAACAGCAGCACCCGCAGTCAAGGCGGCGACTGTCCTCGCCGAGCCATCCCGGCAGGACCGGGATGAGAAGGAAGACGCGGCGGCGGCGGAGGAGGAGCTCAAGGGGCCGGAAAACAGCAACGACAGCGTTCCCGGGAAACCCAAGAAATCAGGTTCAGCGAGCGGCAGCGGCAGTCTCCCAGAGGCCGTCAAGAGCGCTGCTGGCGCTCCCAGCGGTGACGGCGGGCGGAACCGGGGCAACGGCGCCGGGCCCGGTGGAGCCGCAGCGGTGGGCCCCGACAACCCCGAGTGTCTCCTGGTGTTCCACTCGGTGAAGGCGGGTCTCGGGGGCGGGGACGCTGTCCTGGCGTCGGTCAGGTGAGGTGTCGTCTGTTTCTTGAGGTTTGGTGACAGAAGAAAAGGTTTTTTGAGGGTGCCGTTCCTTAGGCGAAATTGAACGTGGGTGTGGGTTTTAGCTACGGCCCGTCGGGCGTTCTACGCCGGTGCGATAATCCCCAAACATATGGCGTCCTGTACAATCATGCGACCTAAGTACGGCAAGACGGGATAGGCATTTGATCATCATCGACGTCATAGCTGCTGATGTTCTACTCGGCTGTGCACTGCACTTTTGCTGCTGCTGCTGCTGCTGCTGCTGCTGCTTTCATGTATGCATACTGCTATGCAGAACGCTCGTCCCTGCCAGGACTGTCGTTGGGGTTCGACCGGCCACTGCCACGGAGGTGTCGGTGGCGGGGGTGCAGGGGCACCGCGGGGGCGGGAGCTCTGTGGGGAGTACCCTCGTCATGGAGTTCTCCAGCGCGCTGAATGCAAGGTTAGCGCGTTTTTTTTTTTCATTTATTGGTATATATATCCACTTCGATTTTTATAATGTGGTTTGTGACATCCCGAAACTTTTGTGTTTTAAAACCTGGTCCACGTTGGCCATGAAAAGCCCCAAACGCATTGGAGCGGGAGGAAATTGACATTCCGTGCGTTTTTTTTTTCACGTGTCTGCATGGCCGTGGTGTTTTGTTCCCGCAAGGCGCGCGTGGGAGGAGGTCGAGAAAGAGGCGGAGCAACTAGTCGCAGCGGCCCGGGTTACCCGGACGGACCACCACGCCCCCTTCCGGGCCAAGCTTTACCCTTCTGCTCCCCCTGTCGATGATGGTGGTGGTAGTGGTGGTAGTGGTGGTGGTGGTGGCTTGGTCGACGTTGTCCGTGACAACTGGGATGACTCCTCGGAGGACGAGGATGAGGAACCTGTGGACGGAGCAAGAGATAGCGTTAGAGACGAAGGAGGAGACGACGAGACAGAACGGAATGAGGAGCCGCGGTTGCAAGACAGCCACGAAGATGAAGACCAGGCCCAAGGGCAAAAAGACAAGGAGAAATCGGCACCACGTGGGACAGGGGACGATGATTCGACCGCGTCCCCGGGTCCTGGAGCCTCCGCTGCTGCTGCTGCTACTGCTGCTGTCCCTACTGCCGTCGCCCCTGCAGCGGCTGCTGCGCCGTCTTCAACTGGGACAGGGAAGCGGCACTCCAAGTGGGGCAACTCGGCGATCAGGGGGAGACTCTCGCGACCTTCCGACGGTCGGGCGACGACGGTGGAGCAGGAGGCGGCCGCCCGCCAAGAACGCCTCGAGAAGCTGAGGTGCGAGGAACGAAATCCGACGTACATCAACATAGATTTTATCAAGTGATATACTTCAGGGTAGCACAGCACCGGCCGAACGGGATTTTCCGACGAGTTAGGCGCTGCACCTAACTAAAGTTGAATCTAACCTCACTTTACTCCTGCCCCAGCAAACGTTGTTGTTCGTCAGAGAGTTGCACAAGACTGGTTAGCACCGGCCGAACAGGATTCATCGGTTTCGTGTCCGGCGGTGTATGAACAACAACCAGGGGGTGGCTACTCATAGTCGTGCATGCCGTAGTCGTTAGACCATTGACCTCGCATCCCTGCAAAGCCGGGACGGAGCAAGCGGGGTTCTCACCGGACCAGGCTCTCACATCACCAAGCCCGAAGCGCCGTGAGGTATTCGGCGAGTCGCATGAGGTTGTGCTGCATCCTGCTAAGGGTGTTCGGCATCTTGTGCTTACTTACTTGCGTACGGGTGACAGTTGCGAATGACTTAATTTATTTTCTGGTGCTTTCACTTCCAGAGACAGTTACAAGCACTGTGTAACTGCCTCGAGGGTGCTTGACCAATTAAACACAACGTGCTGCGATCCAACCCCTTTGTGCGGAGTGAGGGTTCTCGACCCGGCACAACATAAACTACCAGAAGTACCACTATGGTTACTCCGAAAAATAACAAAGGCGAAAAAAAGCGGTAGCCTGGCTATCGAGCTCACAAAGCGATCAGCTTGTTTTTCAACGTCGGTGCCGAGCGACGAAAACCCAACCCCGATGGCAAACACCGAGGGGGAAGGGGGGGTTAATTGAGCTTGTGGAACGTCAATGGGCAAAATAAAAGACCCCGAAAAATACACACGCGATTACTGCTGTTGTGTTGTGAACAACATATGAAGCATGGCCCATGTACGTACGTCTTTACCAACCTAACTAGACTGAACTACCGTGAAACTAATTGAACACGCACACAAACGTGTACGAATGTTTTGATTCGTCGTATATCGTACGAGAGACACAACACACCAACATCGCGCCAATGTGAACTCAACGCTACTCGTAGGCGTATGGAGGAAGCACGGCGAGAGAACCGGCAGAGGAGGGACCAGGACAGGAGAGCTGAGCGCGCAGACGCGGGTAAACTCGAAGCGCACTCCTTCATGTGGGAAAACCTTGGGGAAAGCTCTTCGGAAAGCTCTTCTTTGGGAGACAACAGCGACGACGATGGCCAAGAACAAATTCTAGAAGCAGAGTCGACCGAAGCCGCGGCAGCGGCCGCTGCGGCAGCAGCAGCAGCGGCAGCAGCAGTAGCGGAGGTAGGTTCTCTAAAGGCGGTTGTTGAGAGCGGGGACAGCTCGATACCATCCCCCGTTGTCCCGGAAGGAGACGGAGACGGTTGGCCGTGTGGGGTGTGCACTTTTTGGAACTCGAACGGGAAGGGCGGAGAGGGGACGGATGCCGACCCCCCCCGGTGCGGGGTGTGTGAGGCGGAAGGGCCGCGGAATGCCCATTCGCCCTGGCTTCCGGCGTGATTCCAAGACGTGCTTCAGCAAAGCTCGTTCGCCTTGGCTTCCGGCGTGATTTCCAAGACGTGCTTTAGGAACCAAAACGACGGGGCATGCCTTGCACAGGGGTTTTAATGCGTGCGACTACGCATGGGAACAACTCATCAGTGCGGTAGAAGGCGTAAAAGACCATAGGGCACGGAGGCACGGAGATCGCGCTTGGAGGAAGACTGATGTCGTGGATAGGGCGCCCTTTTGGGGGCGGCATAGATTACACCTGGTCGTTCGACCAGGTACCCAACACTGCCCACACAACTCTTCATTTTCAGCACTTCGAAGAAACGATTTATGAACGGACGGCGGTCTGCGCGTGTCCTACGGTGTGCGAACAAGCGGGAGTATTTTCGTATGATCCCGTTGTCGAGAAAAGACCATGGAAGTCGACGGTGTTTTACGCCCTAGCTCTCCTATGTCACTTGTTTGGAGGATTGAGAAAAGGTAACTACAAACAGATTTAGAAGGACTTGCGCCAATACGGGCAGAGAGAGCGAATGTGTTGAGGCAAGCTGTGTGCTCGATACACTCTGCTCTTTCGTTCCCATTCGAAACTTGGCACACAGGGACGGGTGCCAAGAACAGATCTTGCGCTTAATGAAGATTGCAGTTCGCACCCTCAAGCGTAAACAGCAAAGTAGCGTTTGACATCTTGAAAACAGATTCGCCCCCCGCGTAAACCCCAGGTACCAGTACATGGTACATGTCACGAGGGCGAATCAACGAGGGGTGGAGACGGCAACATCACCTCCTGATGATTCTTCCGTGGGCAACGACCGCCAAAGGACTTTGGGACGGCCGCGCACCCAACCAGAACAGAGGAGCCAGCGAAATCGGCGGCAGCACTATCGGCGATAGTATCGTAGCAGCTGCACTCGCTGCCAACCACAGGCACAGGCTGATTTTGGTGTGGCCAAAGCGGTCAAGTGTCACTAGTGCTCGATCCCTCTAGCTATGACGCCTGGCACAGACCCATCCCGCATGCCCCGAACCAGACGGGTCTCCGCTGGTGTTGACGCGCTCTCCTGATGAACGTTTCGTGCTCTTTTTTGTCGCGAAAGCCACCCCCCTCCCCCTCCGATGTTTGCCATCGGGGTTGGGTTTTCGTCGCTTGGCAACGACGTTGTAAAACATGCCGCCCCCTCGGTGTTTGCCATCGGGATTGGGTTTTCGTCGCTTGGCAACGACGTTGTAAAACACGCCAATTCACTTCGTGAACTCGGCAACCAGGTTACCGTGTTTTTTTTTTTGCGGTAACCATAATGGTGGTCGAGTAGATCATGTTGTGTGGGGTCGAGAAACCTCACTCCGCGCAAGGGGGGATGATCGTACCACGTTGTGTTAAAATGGTCAAGCATCCTCGAGGCAGTTACACAGTGCTTACAACTGTCTCTGGAAGTGAAAGCACCAGAAAATAAACTAAGTCATACGCAGCTGTCATCCGTACGCAAGGAAGTAAGCACAAGATGCCGAACACCCTTAGCAGGATGCAGCTCACCCTTCATGCGACTCGCCGAATACCTCATGGCGCTTCGCGCTTGGTGATGTGAGAACCCGGCGTGCTCCGTCCCGGCTTTGTAGGGATGCGAGGTCAATGGTCAAACGACTACGGCATGCACGACTATGAGTACACCCCCCCCCCCCCCCCCCCTCGACCGTCTTGTGGCACACCGTGCGGTCGACATCGTGTCCCCGCGGCGGCGGCATATGAGTCGCGGCTTCGTGAGTCATTGGCCGCCGACCGCCTGCTGCGCGACGTGTGCCTGTCTTCCGATCGTGTAAATCCACACGTGCAGAAAACTATACTTGTAGTGAATGCCTTGTTTCATCCTCCCCGACAACGAACGAAATACAAACAACCAAAGAATAGGACTACAGAGGTTTATTAAGAGTCATATGATGTTCTTTGCAAACCACTCCCAACACATGAAGGGTCCTCCCCTCACGCCCTTCTCTTTCGCCCTGTGATCCACTTTGCGTATCCCCCATGACTCAAGAGCTCCCTCCACGCGTGTACGCAACAAGCCCGCCCAGATGATATACGCTAAATAGCATCGACCAGTGTTCCAAAGACCCCAACCTTGCCCCGAGATTCGAAGCGCTCCCGGAGCGACGGGCGACTGGCCCAAGGAGTCGCCCGTGTGGTTTGACCAAACAAAACAAATATTCCCCTCAATCTTGCCGCCGCTCTGCCGTCAGAGCTCCACAAGCGCAACGTGAAAGTAACCCACATTGCCGCTCGTACAGTCTTAAAACTGTCCCACAAAAAAAATAGCTCTCCAACCCGCAATAAAAACATCACACCACGGTAGGTCACACACACCCCAGGGTGTCATCCCACTACTTACACTCACTCCTATTTACGGGAAACGTGGATGGGATGAATGTTTTGCCCGAACAACGAAAGGCGGGGGAGTTGAGGAGTCGGGTCTAAACTGCTGACATGGAAATTTCTACCGGGATTCGGCGTCTCTCCGCAGAGGGCGCGGACCGGAAAAGAAAAGACTGGAGGCACACGAACCAGCAGCCCGAAAGCGAGGGGGCGAACAGAGTCAAATCACGCTATTGTTGCCCGGATACACCGCCAACCTTCCTGCCATCTACGAGATGACTGGATACAAAAACAAGACACTAAACAAACGAATGTGATATAATACCAAGACAACAAGGGCAGGGAATCGCCCCCCTGCCGCCGCCCCCCCAACCCGGACCTGACTGCTGTCTCCTCGACCAAGCATCAAGAAGTAAACGCGTGGAATGAGGATCACCCCATGGTGCCCCCAACACCGCCGTACTCCGAGCTCAGGCTCTTCTTGCATAGCCGCCGCACGCTGAGAGTAATCAAGCGCCTATGTAGTGTAACGAGGATAAACCTCCCGGCCCGACAAAACAAAACTCGCGCAGAATGCCGAGCTCAACGTAAGCGTCTGCTTGACAAGACTCTTGGGTCGCCACGGGCCAATGAAGCGTCGTCACCTCTAGGCACTTGGCTGATCGTCGTCATCTTCGAGATCGGGCAGGCCCTCGTCGTCGCTATCCGCCTGAGGTGCATCGGGGAGAGGGGGGCAGGGAGGGGGGTACGTAACATCAATACACGGTCGTATTCCACACGAGGACCTCGCGTCATTGGCTTGTTTCGCCTACACCAGCGCAGAAAAATCCCGAATGGTGTAAAGTCAAGGCTGACGTCCAGAGTACATGCGACGATACACAGACTGAAGGAGGGGGGATGATGGGTGATTGTCGCGTGCCTTGGTAGCCATACCTCTCGTTCGAAACGGAGCAGGTTGCACCGCTTTACATGGCTGGTGGTTTTCCCTTGGGCCCAACACGGGTGCGCCGCGCCCCCGAAATAAACGACAACTACGCCTGCTACTCTTGAGGTAGACGACACCTTTCTGCGGCGAGAATGGGCCGGATCGAACCGGGTGGAAACTTAAAAAAATGCGAAAAAAATACGGAGGGGGGATGTACTCATTTACGCATGCCGTATTTAGTCATTAGACCGTTGACCTCGCATTCCCTACAATGCCGGGACGGAGCGTTATGCCGGATTTTCGTCAGCCCAGGCTTTACTACGATTCTCAAGGATGAACCAGAAGCTGGTCACCATGCTTCCATTTTGGGGGGTGGGGGGCGCGACCCGTTGTACTCAATCATTGCTTGCCCTCGTCGCTTGATCATTGACCACGCACTCTCCCTGTCGATGCTCAACACATCGACTCTTGCTACCCTGTTTTTGTGCAACACCAACCACGGAGTGGGCGCGTTTTATCGGGCGTTTCCCTACTGTACGTCCTGGAGGCATGCAGCGGCGGTTGTCTGTCTCTCCATTGGTCGATTTGATCTTCACAAGAAGGTTCGTCCCATCGGTGCCATGACTCAACACCAGTAGAGGGCATCGACACCGACGACGAGAGATTCATGTTTCAGGTACAAGACCATAGCCCTGACCCTAACCCTGAGTTAGGTACAAGACCATCGCCCCAAGATGAGGGTACACTCCACGGCCCGATGCCCTCTTCAGGCTCAGACACAACTAGCTGCTGCTGCCGTTGCTGCTGCGGCTGTTCCCGATGTGCGTTGGGGTGTAGGCGTCGAAACACCGGGGGAGACCGGTCCAAGCGAGGGCGAGCGCCTATGTAAGTGTACGTAGGCCTAAACAGACTAAAAACAGTCAACGGGCTTCAACAGACCCCAATTATGTCCAGTATATCCACTAGGCTGCTCTCCCAATCCTCACTTGTGCATGTACAGATTTCTACACATCCCTTTGAACGGGGTACTGTATCTTGAACGGGTGCAGCAGTTCTTCCCTTGATGCTGTTTACATTTTCTATAAAAAAAATCGAGCACCGTCCAAAACAGCGGTGGCGACAATTCCAACAGAGGTTTGACACACGATTCTGACTCTGCGGACATACAAATCTTGTCCTCTTGAAACCGGGAAGCATGCCCACCAACGTACCAGTACAGGGTTTCGTAACGGCGGTGAAGGAGTGTTTCAAGAAACCGTTGCCTAGACCTCTTGAAAATCTGTGCATGTCGTGAAAATATTGCCCAGCAAACCGAACAGCCTGCTTCGGTGAAGAACGGGTAGCGTACCGTAGAAGGGCACGAGCCATCGCACCCTCCCCCTAGATTGACTTTCAAAACTCGATTCCTCCAGATGCGATATATAACCGACTGATAGGCGCAATGAACGCCCTTTGATGAGATCTATCTAAACCGCCCTCTTTTTGGAACCTTTGCTGGGAAAGTCGGCCTAAATAGAGGATGTGCAACCAGCTACCATCGCACCTCGTCATCATCATCATCGTCGTCGTCGTCCCCGCCTCCTCCCATGCCTCCCATGCCTCCCATCTCACCCGCCTGCATCTTGGCCATCATCTCTGCCATTCCTGCCGGCATCCCTCCCTCGCCTCCGCCCATACCCCCCATGCCTCCCATCCCCCCCATGCCTCCCATCCCTCCCATGCCTCCCATACCCCCCATACCCCCCATCCCTCCCATCCCTCCCATACCACCCATCCCTCCGGGAGGGCCGCCACGGCCTCCGAATTGGCTTCCTCCGTCGAGGGCACTCATGTCGAACCCTTCTGCGATGTCCGGGAGATATTTCGGCACGCAGCCACGGAGACAGAATTGCGAACGCAGGAGAGGGAGAGCGACACAGGGGGTGTCAGAAACGAACACGGAAGAGGGAGAGAGATTGAGAGAGAGAGAGAGAGAGAGAGAGAGAGAGAGAGAGGGAGGGAGGGAGCTCGTGGCGCGGACGCGTAAAATGCGGCGAGAATTGAATGCGGCACAAAACAAACTGGTACGCATAAAAACATTCAGTGCCATGTAGCCTTAGATAGGCTCATAATAAGCCCAGTATCCAGCCTGTTCTTCGCCCACTCACTGCTGTCAAGACTTCAACCCGTCTCCTTCGGCTGCATCTAGTAATATCTTGAACAGGTATTTTTTCTTTGGTTGAATGTATAGTTCCTGAAACAAACTAATCAACATGCGCGTGGACAGAGTAAGCATCGACGGACAAAAAAAGAATGAGAAAAACGAGAAGAAAACCAAAAATTAATTTAAAAAAAATCAGCAACGGAACAACTTTGAGGTCGGCGGCAGGCACGGACCTCCGCCCTCGTCCTCGTCCTCGTCAACGAACTTGTTCCAGTCAATCTTCACGTTAGTTTTCTCCAAGGACTTGTCCTGCGAAGCAGTAAATAAAAAAAATCAGCAACGGAACAACTTTGAGGTTGGCGTTTTGGGGGAGGGGTAGAGGGAGAGGCAGATCGGCAAAGAGAAAAAGGAGTGAGCGACGGAACCAGAGGTGTAAGAGACAGGGGGAGAGAGAGAGAGAGAGAGAGAGAGACAACCAGCGCGTGGACAAGATGAGAGGCAGGAGGACAGAAGAGGCACGGATGCAGAGAGAGATGCAAGGGAGGAAGGGACAGAAGGAGGGAGGGAGGGGGGGGGGGAGGAGACGTGTTGTTGTACATGCGACGCGGCCTCGTCCAAATCGAAACCCTTCTGCCATTCACAAAGAGTGGAGGCTTTCACATAGATGTCCAGGGTGGGCAAATCGTCCTTTCTCCTTGATATTGGCCGCTTCTCTCAAAATCCTTTTGGACCATTCCAAGAGTGCGACTCGACACGGGTCACCGCTGCGGCGGCCCGTTCTCTCGCCAGTCTTTCTATCAGCAACACCATTGCTTGGTCGAGAAAAAACTCGGGTACCTCTGGGAAGACGACATCATCTCCGGAGATGGGATGACATGTTCATTTCTACTCACCTTGAGGAGGCGCTCCCAGAAAGCGTCGTCCTCGGTCTCTTTCATGATGTGCATCTGGATGCTGCGTGGCAGCACTTTCCATGTGCTCTTCTGTTTGTGCAGACCCCGGGCCGGCGGCGG